GTGAGAGAAGTATAGGTTTAGTCTGGCAAGATTCTGTCTGCACAGTGTGAGCAAATAACAAAGTGATCTTTGGCTGGGTGGTTGTTCTTGGGCCTGGCACTCGGAGCTTTCCACAGCTTCCAGGTCCCGCCGGGGGGGGTGGGTGTGGGTTCTCTGCAGCTTTGAGCAGGGGTGGTGTTTCTCTCTCGGCCCTCCATCCAAAGGGGAGCCTAATGATGGCTCTGGTTTCTTGCAGTCCGCACCCGGTCAAGCCCATGAGAAGCACGGCTGCCCCAGAGTCCCCACGCAAGGAGAAGGCTCCCGAGGCTTCCAGTCCGAGCCCCATCCAGACCACTGGCCAGGAGCAGCTCACCCTCCAGTCCGTCCTTAGTGGGAGCTTCGCAGCCTCGGTGATGCAGCTGGAGGAGACGGAGCCCAATCAGGTGAGGTGGTGGCTGAGCCGCCGAGGACAGGTGTGCTCCTGAATGCCAAAAGCGGGTCTCCCGTGCTGGACCTTTGGAGCATCGATGATCCCTCTCTTTCACCCGTTATGCCTTTGGCCAGAAGGAGGCCATCCTGGGTTTGTTTGGCCAGGTGCAACTGCTCATTGTTTAAAACTCCGGACCTCTGATTCCTCCCCTGCCGCCGCCTAGCTGCCAGGAGGCCTGGCCTAGGGGAAGATTCGTGCAGTGGCCCCCAGAACCTTTTGAGCTCCTGGATTGAGCAGCCCTGGGCTCAGCTCTCTTGGCAGCTGTCACCAGGGCCTCTCAAGGGCATCTCTGCCAGTCTGTACGCTTTGGCCAAGGACTGAGATTCTGGGCCTCGGACGTGGCAGAAATGCTGTGCGGGGAGAGGATGGAGTCAGGAGCATCAAAGGAGGAGGAGGGTCCTTCTGGGTGGGAATTCCGTGGGACAAAGAACAAGTCCAAACTGGGAGAAAAAGCAGTCACTATCTTTATTGTCTACTGCCTATGGCACAAGAATCTCCTCAGGTTGCTAGCCTGGGAAGGTTCTCATTGACCTTGGAGGAGGTTAAGCTCCTGCCTCTCGTAGCTGCACGAGGACTCCAAACTAGGCCCTCGCTTGACTCCTCCTTCCAGCCCATCGGGCAGTTTCCCAACTCTCTGGCCCCAAGAGGCCCTGCTCTTCAGCCCCCATCTGTCTCTCCCCCCCTCTTGTGTCTCTGCAGAGCCCCCCCACCAAGTACCACCACCTGACGCGGGAGGAGCTGCTCCAACTTCTTCTGCGACGGGAAGCCGAGCTGGGCAAGAAGGAGGAGCAGGTGCAGGAGCTGGAGGGCTACATCGACCGGCTGCTGGTGCGCATCATGGAGCAATCACCCACCTTGCTGCAGATCCCTCTCGAGGAGGTGGCCAAGGCCACCCAGTAGCCCCCCCTGCCAGGAATCCCATCGCCCCTCCCTTCCTGCCTGGGTTTGGTCTGCTGAATGTTCCCCTCCTTTGGCGCAGGCAGCACCTCTACCCCAGGACACCCTGCTCCCTCAGCCTCCCTGTAGCCTCCGTCCAGGATCTCTGGTGGACCTTCAAACCTGTCGGGCATCACGGACTCTTCTTGACACAGTGGCGTGTGTCCCAGGCTGCGGGGCGGCCCTGCAAACTTCCTGGCCTGTCCCTTTGCAAATGTCGTCGCCTC